TTAGCTTCTTGGAGTTGGGTTTGCTGTGTTATTAGTTCCATATTAGGAGGATTTATTGTTATGGTATTAATCCAATCATCAATCGAAATTTCAAACTATTTTTTGGAATAAAAAACTTCGTATCAAGAATGAATGTTCGAATTGAATAATCAAATCAATATTCCAAGAAAATCAATTCATTAAATTATGTCTATGAGTTCAAGCTTTAGGTCGTTTGACTTTAAATGAACATTTGATTTCTTCAGGTCTATGATTTTGTTAAGCTTCAGTATTATGTAAATAAAAAAAAATGTTCATGTGTTTTATTAATTACAGGGTTCGTGTTACATTTTCATTACAAAATTCCTGGACTTTTCAAGTACTTTTTAAAGTGCGCAATGACTTTATTTTTTCCAAAGTTCAGGAAAGCCACACGAAAAAATAAAATATTTCTTGATGCCCTCTTGGAAATCTGTTAAAAACTCGTTTTGTGAATCATTACAATTAATAAATTTTCGATAACTTCCTAATGGCCGCGAATTATCATAGAAGCCTGAGTCGAGCCTTGTGTGACATCTACACATCTGCACAAAATTTCGATTTTAAGGACTATTTTTTAAGATATTTTTGGATGTTTACGAACGTTTTTTGCAATTTTAAAATAACGGTCCGAGTTTTGATAGATATGAACATACATACCTCTCTAAATATGACCTAAAGCCAAATTCTGACCGTTAATAATAAGTCCCTCGACAGAGCTTTATCTGATGAATCATGGGATAGCCAGTCCCGTTCCAAATTTGGTTACATTCGACAATGGTATACTACGTCATTATCTATAATATATTCAGACTCCGACCGAAGAGGCGTCTGGTCGAGCACGATATTTGACAAAGTGGCAACGTGGACGTCCTTGCTTTTCGAGGTAAGAACTTAGATAGTCTAACATCCTAACATACTTATTGAATAATATTTAGCTCGAAAATGTTATACAAAAGAAAGAGTAACTTTATGAGAATTTCTCTCTCTGAATTTAGTGACTTTGCAAGATTTTGTTCATTTAGACGAACTTATTTTAACTTAATGAGTTAATCTGTAAATGTCAATATTGATTTAACTGCAAATAATCTACATACAAGACGCTGCAAAGGATCGATGTTTGAACCGGGACTACTTGAACTTCCAATCACAGCAAACTGTACAAACATATCTACATATCTTACACTCCGTTGTTGTGCTTTTACTTGATTTGGACGCCTCTCAAAGAAAACATATCGTTTTAGAGATGTAAATGTATATTTGCAGCTCGCTTACTTTTTGTTGCTGTATAATAACGAAAATACTTTTTGCGGTAGTTTTCGAAACATGCGAGCGGTGGACGCAAATCAATGACTTTCATTCTCTTGTACTAACCACGTGCTCTAGAACTACTCTCGTCTTTTTCTTTAACTCTTAGAAGATTCTCTGAATATTTCCGTGTTTCAGGTTTGCCTTCATTCTAATGTCCAAAATTGCTCAATTTGCGTTTTCATCTTCTTGGTTCGGCTTTCATCAATATGAAAAACATACTTCGATTCCTTGAAATATAATCAGACAAGGCTGACATTATGCCCGACATGGCACGGTCGCTCCACGCGTCTGAAGATATCACAAAGGACTCTGATCATACAACTGTTTCATATTCCATTAATTAATATTACATGCTCGAATCCATTGGTCTGTAATTTCAGTTTGCGATACTGTAGATGCGTGACACTCAATGTGACTTCACACACACACTAACGTTATTCCGCGAAACATTATATGTGAAAAGACTTTTTAGTCGGACTGTTTTAGAGTCGTTCTCATTAACCCGTTGAACAAAGTGTAATAGTAAAGGAGAGACAAAGTGTATGAGGGTGTAATAGTAAAGGAGAGACAAAGTGTATGAGGGTGTAATAGTAAAGGAGAGACAAAGTGTATGAGGGTGCAATAGTGCTATTGGTTAAATACTCTGCCCACCACACAAAATTTCAAATTCATATTTATTAAGGACACAACTGCAAAATTGCAATTTCCGCAATTTATTGACTACACTGCGATTTTCCACGAACGCATTTCTTGACATTTAGAGCGCTTATGTGTTCAAAAGCATTTACAATAGCAAGSACMTGGGTCAGTCTTGCATGCTGTTACATGGGTATTGTGTTCTTATACAATAGGAAAAATTCCTATGCAAATATCTGTGTTACTCGTGAATAAAAGAACATGCAGAGAAAGTGTAATAAAGCGTAGAAAAAAATGAAGCGCTAAGGTGTGTTCCACGGGTTTTAGCCAATCTATCTATCTATCTGTGTATTTTGTCGCGTTTGGACCACCGGAAGTTATGAATTTAATAACTAACTATTGGAATGGCTGTGATATTACATGACCGGCCGGAAGCTCAAATGTATAGATGTACGAATATCGTTAGTAAATGTTAAATGCTACTTGCGCTTTTATGTGATAAAAAACTATTCGTTTACAAATGTGGTATCTGTGATCTCATCGGAATGCATGTGTCTAGGCATCAATAGTACCCGCATGTGCAGATCGCATGGAGCTTCGAGTAGTATGCTTACGAAACTAAATCAAGGACTTTTCTAGCGTTAGGCAGTCTTGTGTGGGCAAAGATTTCAAATTAGAACGAGAAGAAACTTTGTTTATCAATAACAAAAATGCGATTTTATAGGCATCTTTTACGATAAGTATTTTTCTTGGCCTGGGAGGTCAACGTATTATCACTTAGCGACATATCGGTGTTAATTACATGACATTTTGGGTCAAGAAATTTAGCATATTTTGAACTAGACGCTCTTATTAGACCGTGAGTTCGGCTATTTTGGGAAAAAAATAAGAAATATATTTTTTTACTGTCTTAAACAGCTAGTCCGACTTCACGGTCTAATAAGAGCGTCTAGTTACTTCTCATTTCGATTCTTTGTTATGCGATCGCACAAAGTTCTTGGATGCAATTTTGCATTAATCAACTGAAGTTTGAAAACGAAAAATAAAATAGAAAATCCAATAATGCATTGAATAACGAACTATTCGGGGGCGCGCTTCATGCCTTTTGATTGTAATATTACACCAAAGTCGGACACTTCGTATTTCTTAATAGCTATTTCGTTCTATATGCCAATTAAGGTACTTGTACCCAGTCTCCCACAGTATGAAATCTGCCAATGGGACTCTGGTTCAACCATTAGGATATAAAACTCCTCTAGTGTGTTTTTTTTTTCTCTTTGTCCTCTCCGTATTCTTCTATGGATCTTTGGGTAGAAACGCCTGTTTTTCAGATTACGGTTTTGAAAAGTACGTTTACCCATAGATTGTTTTAACAAAAAAAGAAAATATTTGATAAGGCATCTTCGTGATGTAARATTTCACCCATTTTGTTYCAGTGTTGARCCATGATTCCAGTTGACCAKCTGAATCRTTTCCAAGCAACCAACCCACTCTACAAACTAGTCAAGCCTTGGTGGGATGTATTAACTGACTATCTGGTCGCAGCCATGTTGGCAGTGGCCRTCCTAGCAGGAGCAYTGSAAGCTACACAGAGCGACYTGATCTGCGTCCCTGCTGTTCCCTGTACGTATAGCCTTAATCAGAGTTTGCCTGCTAATGCCACAGAAACCAGAGGATTTTGTAAAGGTAATCACGAAAATCATATATAGAAAGGCTATTTATTATATAGATACTGAGATTTTCTCACATATAATCCGTTTCAAAATATAAACTAGCCAATAATAGGAGCGAAACGAATTTCTCATCCGTGCGAAAAGCGTTTCTATCTATAAATACCTATATTTCTCCATTATATGTAAAGTTGTTATTTTCACACATTTGAGGTTTCTCTATATAGTGGAAGTAAAAAAATAGCTACTTCACGACATAATTTACTTTCATATGTAATTATATGATAAACAGATTATTACATGGTTCCTCGGAGATACGAATTTTATCTGAGTTCTCGGGTAGGAAATCTTTCTCTACGCTCACTCGTGAGAGATCTTTTCAACACTCGAAGATAAAATCCGTATCTCCGGGGGGCATGTAATATCCATAATTTCTATGTATCTAGGCAACAAGTCGACAATGCTGCTGAAATTACCAGACAGACGGCTGTACGATTACGTTGCGACAGAGTGCGGGCGAACGGCGGTTCAATGGTTTGCTTCTTTCTTTCCGTTTATAGTTTTCCTTCAGTCTATTGTCCTCATAGTTGTTCAAAACGTTTGGTTAAAAATACCGCATACGTCATCAACTATAGAGAATTTTGTAACATTGGTCATTGAATGTCATAATACCAAAGGAACATGCTTAGCTGTGTCTGACGTTCTGTGGAGAACAAAAATATCTGAAAAAACCAGATCAACAAAAATATCTGAAAAGACCAGTGTCAGAGGAGGCACAGTGGAATTCAAAGAAGATATAGAGCAACCATCCAATGACGGCAAATCGAACGAGAATAAATCGAGTACTGAATCCCTCGATGTGTCCGAAGCTATCAAAGCGAAGGCATTATACGAAAAAGTTGGCCAGTTCAGAAAAGATGTCGAAAAAAAGCAACATATCTTTCGGATATACTCTGTACAAGCAACTTTGCAATTGGGACTGTCCATCATTATTCTTGTTTTAAACGCTTATTACCACAACGAGCTGAAGAATACTGTGAATTGTACGATAGACTATGTCATAAGCAAAGACTACAGCGATTTTGTGTGCACCAACGGTGTTATTCCATATTTTGAACGTATAAATATAACATTTTGCATTCTGGTTGCATCATATTCTATAGTGTGCATTTACATTTGTACCTGGACATATTTAAGAAGAGGTAAAGAATACAATTTTAAGCAAAATCTTACACCAGAAAGTGAAAGTGACCACGCCAAACAAGAAGACACCGATCTRTTCAAGTCATTGAGTGACATTATTCCCGCAAAAGCAAACCTAGCTTTCATGCTTTACCTACTTAGTTATTGCAATAAACTGTATACGCTAAGATTCAGTGTATTTTTATCTAAGAAGAAAGAAAAACAGATAAAAGATCATWTATTGATATGTGAATGGCCCGTCGAAAGGTTAAAASAATYAGCTAGAGAYGRTGGTAAAACTTTGACGTTACCTAAACTGAGTGGTATCCCGAAAACAGTCTTCAAAATGAAAGAYCTYCAAACCCTCATACTAAAGGACTGTCAATTGGGAAATGATTTAGATGATAAAGACAAAGGCTGGGRGAAGCTCAAGYTAAAGTCATTAKCGCTARWAAATTGTSGMTTGACCACAATTCCGACCGTTATTTTAAAAATGGAATATTTAGAAACGYTAGATCTGTCTGACAACAACATAACTTGTATTCCTGCTGAAATCGAGAGTCTCCGGTCATTGCGCACTTTGAATGTTTCAAACAACAATATTACTCGTGGTTTTAACTATCTCATACAGATGGAAAAGCTTATGGAATTGAATCTACRAGGAAACAACTCTTTACAGCTGACTTTGTCTCCAGATAAAACGATAAATATAGTGAAATTAGAAGTCGACGAAGAAATTGTGAAGAAAATGGACGATGTAACTCGAAATCTGATTAAGGACATCACTGTATCATCAGAGCAGGACATCTTTGTAATAAAGTATTTGCCAGTACACGCTCCTCCTGAAATCGAAAGTATGAGAAAAAACAGATCTGGAGATGTCTACAAAATGACCTCGTATCCGAAAGGTGTGGCTTTAATAATAATAAACAATAAAATTTTCATTGATCATCGTGATCCTGAAAGAAACCGAGTAGAAAAAAGCATAGAAAAAGTTTTTAAATTGTTCCAAAACATTGGCTATCATGTCGAAGAATTACAATCAGAGTACTCACTACAGCAAGATCTCTCAAAGATTGCTACTTTGTTCAAGAAATACTCGCATTTGGATTCTGCAGTATTGACAATCATGACTACTGACAAAGAATTGCAGACAATAAAGGAAATTGCCAAATGTATGCATGACAGTCTGCAAGGAAAACCAAAGCTTATTTTCATCCTCAAACACGACAAGTTTCAGTCACACAAGGAGGCCTTTACCAGTTTGGAAACAGAATGCCCCGATACAGCTGTTGCCTATTTGGAATCGGATGGTAGATACATTGTTGGAAATATGGACCCTGAGGTCTCTTTCATCAATGCTCTGGTTGATGTGTTTTCAAATCATGCCTGCAAAGAAGATGTTGAATCGCTACTGAATCGTCTAACGCCTGAATTTGAGAAAAAAAGAGATGGGGAAACCGTCTCATTTTCTTGTAAAGGCCTTGTTAAGAAGTTCTACTTTTATCCAAGGTACTTTCCAGAAAATGATCAAACCAGAAACAATCAACATCGCAAAGAAACATCGGCATATTAAAGCAAGCATGGACACGTATGGTCACGTAATACCCGTTAAAACTGGCGATTTTTGCAGCCCTTTTGTGGTCACTTTGATGCAAGAGAATTATATTCTAAAGAATAGTTAACCCGTAAACTTTCATTCGGTACACTGAGATACACTGGAAAAAATCGTTCACTTTAAAAGGTTGTAAATTTGATGTAAATATTGTGTAAGTGTCCAAAATGATGTAAATTTGATGTAAATTTGATGCTTAAATTTGATGTAAATTTAATTCAAATTTACATCATTTTGGACACTTACATAATATTTACATCAAATTTACAACCTTTAAAGTGCGCGACTTTTTCCAGTGGATGAGCTAACAAAAGTCTCCTCAAAAAAATAAGACAAAATCTATATTGTATTTTTTAAATAAAAAAATTGCAGCAAAATCGCAAATGTTAACGGACCTGTGCAAATGTCTTTCGTGAAATTGTACTAACCTCTACCTCTTTGTGATGATTTGCGAAATCGTGCTCAATCAAAGAAAGTCCGGCTCCAGTTGCAGATTTAGTGCAGTTTTCTTGTTTTTATTTTGTACAATTTCATGGATGAAATCTGGTAAATATTCCTGCATGTTGATCTCTAAATGGAAGAAAGAGAAAAATGCTTGTAAAAAGGGAATAACGAACTAGAGTGATTCCTTGAAATCTTTGAAATGGAAGCAGGCAATCAACGCCAAGCGAACATGCTCAACTTGTTAAAGGGACATGGTCCACCAGCATTCAATGCGGTCGTGTTTTAGATTTTTCATATATCGAAAATGAGGTGACTTCAAATATCCTTTCGCAATCCGTTTCCATCCATCGTTTATAAGGTCGAATCTTACAGGATCTCTATCCATATAGTATAAAGGGATAATGAAGAGTAAGTTTTTGCTTATATTTCTATTTTCAAACATGAGCAAAAGCTCGAAAAGGATGCTGGTGGACCATGTCTGCAAAAACATGACAACTGAGCTTAATAATGTATCAAGTACTCTGGATCTTCTTTCGAGTTTGTTTATTGGTGTGAAGTGTATTCTAACGATCTTGTTTGCTCATTTCTCAATATGCAGGTGTAGGGTTTTCCCAGTTGCATGATTATAGCTATTCGCTTCATTGCACTGACGATAACAAGTTGCATGCAGACGGTAATAAAGTTAAATTATCCTCATCATTAGTTATTATTCTTATTATTATAGTGTGTACTTAGATAGAGTCTGGATATGGGAGTAGGCTGTATCGTATTTTTCTTATATTATTATATAAAGCTTTTTTCTCAAATTCTATCTTCATATATTGTAAATAATGTAATGATTCAACTGTTGGGCTGCGAAGATTTATGTATGGACTTAAAATTTTGTTGATGGTTTCAATAAAGAGAAGTTCGTCTTTGATATTGTATCACAGTTCACTGAAAAGCTGTTTGGCGTCCCTCGTGGCAGCATTCAATCTTGTTTTGATTTTGAAATGGAAATGTACTAAGCCCCTTAAAACCTATTTTGTCCACGATCAATGGTGACCAATGGTCAACGTACACGCTGTTACATAAAAACCCAAAAAATCAAAATACAACAAAAGTCACTATGACTACCTGGATATGCCACTGTTTAGTCTAGACTCGAAATTTGGGGACTGGTTTTATTATTAGGTACAAAATTTCCTTATTGAGTTTGAGGAAAGGTGTTTGTAGAATCTTCGACATACTAGATAATTAATAGTAGTATAAACGTCAATGAAAAACAGGAAATCTCTTGCGCGAAAAAGTTAAAATAACACGTTACCGTTACCGTTACGTTACCGTTACCGTTACACGTTACCGTGGATACTACGTATAAATTGTTCTCTTTATGTTATTGTTGAAATTGAAGTTTGTATAATAAATAGAGCATCGCCTAGAGATATTTGTTTCCTTCTCATGTCCAATCAAATTGAACTTTCGAAAATTCGTATCTCAGTGAGTTCCTGTAATATAAAGAATTTCAAATTAAAACTCCATAAAGAAGATGTTAAAAGATGATTTAACAGATACGGCTTGATTTAAGAAATATATAAAACGGCGTGAGTGTCTCTGTCCTCTGATATAAACACGGTCGTCAGCCAATCAGAGCGCGCGTTATATGTCAACAATTTTTTTAAAATGTTATACAAAGTTTGAAAGCTACATGCGCAATTCATAGTTTGGGTTACCTGTAGAATTTTGGTTACATTAGGCATGGGTATACTACGTAATCATTTATGTTTAGACACAGACTACGACTAAAGGTCACATATTGTCTGGCTTCAATTCGTGGAAGAGCTGTTTGGAAACAACTACGAGATTTGACAAAGAGGTAACGAGTGAGAATCCATTGCKTCTGAAGGTAAAAACTTAAATTATGTGTATTTAGGGTACTTCTTGGTGTCAAGGACACTTCCTTAATAGTTTGATTGACTTAATCAATGAACTGTTCTTACTCGACTACGTCTCTATTGTTACAATGCATTTGTTTTTGTTTTATTTAACCCCGTAATCGGACCCTTCAGCGTCCTGACGCGCATATAAAAACTTTAGTGTTCCTTTTGCCAGTATAGTAGTAGTTGCTCTTTTGGGTGTAACCTTGTACCTTGAAACTTCGTTTTGTAAAACTGGAGTTCAATATTTGGCTTTTTAGAGGCGAAGCGGGACAGATATGTAAGTACGACCTTTGCTATCTATAATAGTTTGTTACTTAGATTGTTTGTGCATATTAGGCTAGCTTCTCTGCGCATTTTAACCCGTGATAGCTTGGTGAAACAACACGGAAAAAGTGGTCATCCATATCACATAACGTCGCCACTTCGGGGAGTGTCAAAACTTCTCCTTATTTCTCTAAAAACGTCCGCAAATATGAATTATCACTGTACTGATAAAGCAGCAATTTTTGCAACTGACTTCTCTTTCTGTTTCCAAAAAGAGGCTGCTTCCTCCCCTCCTTTGCAGGTTTAAGACTGATATCACAACCGCTTCTTTTTACAGATTTAAGTCAGTATTGCACAATGTTTCCAGTTGACCAGCTACAGCGCTTTCAAGTAATCAACCCTGACCATAAATTCATCAAGCCTTGGTGGGATACCTTTACTGATTACATTGCTACAGCCTTGTTGATGATGGCCGTACTAGCAGGGGTAATGCAAGCTACACAGAGCGACCTGGTCTGCGTCCCTGCTATTGACTGTAGCTTAAGCCATAATCAGAGCTTTAATCACAGCGGCGTTTGTCAAGGTAATCGCGGAAATTAGTGAAATCAAATAGAGATGATTTTT